CTACCTTCCAAAAAGTGGCTGGTTAACGTCCGCCCTCCCTCCGAAACTGGAAATACTCCGTTCCTTGTCGAAGCCTGGCTACAAAACCCCCCTTCATGCTAAAAAGCGAGCCAGCTTACTAAAGACCCAACAAGGAAAAACCTAAAGCAAGCAGAGAGCAGAGAGAACGGTATCGACAGTCTGATCTTGTCAGTTCCAAAGAAAATCATTTGTCTCTGGGCGAGGACTCACCACAAGCGTGCAACACAGGAACTTGTTCATTGTGGTCGCTTTTAAAACCTCAGGGCTCTGGGAAGGCAACCAGGCAGTTCGGAAGTGCTCCAGTCTCGTAGCAGCTTTGCGATCACTGTCCAGGCACATTCAGAGCCCGTTTATATATCTATCTGTGGCGGTGAACAGGAAACCCTGGGCTGCAATATTCCCTCCCCAATTTCACTCTGATTTTTTTTTTTTGAAAAAAGGAACTTCTAGAAGTTAACCACAGGTTGAGGGGGGGGGGGTGAGTAGAGGAGGGAGTGCCAGGATCCGGTCAAGCCGAGGGTTAACTAATTACTGTCTCCTACCCACTGTCCTTTTAAAGCAGACTCACCTCCAGGAGAATGAGGCTGAGTTATTTGCAGCCTGTCTGTTATAGAAACAAAGGTATAAAAATATCCTACTGATACTGAGTCTTCCAAGTGCCTGCTAGGAATCCCTTTTTGAAACTTGGCCTTGGCCTTAAACTAGAGTTGTGGCACAGAGTGCTTTTTCTCTGCAATCTCTTTTCAATATTTTCTCCTGTTCCTACAGTATATAATTTGATATACATACACACACAGATAAGATATACATACACGTATACATCTATCTATCTATCTATCTATCTATCTATCTATCTATCTATCTATCTATCTATCTATCTATCTATCTATCTATCATCTATCTATCAATCAATCAATCTATCTATCTATCTATCTCTATCTATCATCTATCTATCAATCAATCTATCTATCAATCAATCAATCTATCTATCTATCTATCAATCAAATATCTACCTATCTACCTACCTGTCTGTCTGTCTGTCTACCTACCTATTCAATCATCAATCATCTGTCTATCTATCTATCTATCTATCTATCTATCTATCTATCTATCTATCTATCTATCAAATATCTACCTATCTACCTACCTGTCTTTCTGTCTGTCTACCTACCTATTCAATCATCAATCATCTGTCTGTCTGTCTGTCTGTCTCTGTCTACCTACCTACCTACCTACCTACCTATCTATCTATCTATCATCTATCTATCTATCTATCTATCTATCTATCTATCTATCTATCTATCTATCTATCATTTATCCACCCACCCACCCGTCTATCATCTCTCTCTCTCTCTCTCTCTCTCTCTGTCTATCTGTTCACTCACACCATAATCATTTACCATAAACCATTAATCATTCCCCAGTTTATGGATGGGGAACTGAAATGAGATACACTGAGGAACACTAGAAAAGTCATGGAGGCCAGTTGATGGTGTTGTTGCAACCTCCAAATAAATGAAATGTACTGCAGCATAGTGTGTGCAGCAGGACAGCTTCACCAGTTTTCCCTTGGTTTGAGCTGTGGAAGAGCTGAGTACCTATTGGCTAATGCTAGTACCATCACCAACATACCTCGGGCTGCAAAGCTTGCAGTGGTGGTGGTGGGGATCCCATGTCCCCAGGTTCTGCTACCTGCCATCACTCAGAGCCGTGGTGGCAGATTTTTTTTTTTAAATGCAGCCTTGTTTAATTACTGGAAGTTCTTACCAGAAGTGATAAAGGGTAGCTCTAGGAATCACTGGAAACTTTATGGTTTTACAGTAGTTTCTGGTGATTCCTAGAGCTACCTTTGGTCATTTTCAGTAAGAACTTCCAGTAAGTACATAAAGCTGCATTTTAAAAACATTTGTCTCCCATACTGCACCTCCCCGCAACCCTCCCACCTGTTGCCAGGCTGTGCCTGGCAATCTGACACATACCTCTCTGTGCGAAGTCTTAGAGCAATATTTTATCATTTTCAATCTTCGTTTTTTTCAGCAGACACATATATTAGTTTCTGGTGATTCCTAGAGCTACCTTTGGTCATTTTCAGTAAGAACTTCCAGTAAGTACATAAAGCTGCATTCTTAAAACATTTGTCTCCCATACTGCACCTCCCCGCAACCCTCCCACCTGTTGCCAGGCTGTGCCTGGCAATCCTACACATACCTCTCTGTGCGAATTCTTAGAGCAATATTTTATCATTTTCGATCTTCGTTTTTTACAGCGGACACATATAATTAAGATTGATGTATGCACACTTTATAATAGTTTAAGAAAAGGGTGGTGCGCATGAGTGGCAACAGCGAGACTATGAGCTAACACATCTCCTTGGCATAAGCAGAAACTGGCCAATCCAGCATTCTACTTGCTAATTTGACCGTAATGTAAATTGGAAAGCTGCCTTCATGCTCTGGGCAGAAGTCCCGCTGGGACTGTCTTCAGAATGAGAACTCTGTTATTATCAGGGCAACACAGGGAATCAATGGAAAATATGGCACTGGGAGCTCATCAGTGACATCCTCAGCATAGACTTTTCTAAGGGCGCAACTCTGGTTGGGATGGCACTGCACATCCACCTCCGCCCCCCGATACTGCCAGTCTGTGCTGCAGATTGTTTACCATTCTGTTTAGTTGGCTCAAATGGTCACTCCGAAATGAGAGGTTTGATTGACATGGCTAAGTTTATTTCAGCCTTGTAAATAAGCCTACAAGTTACTAGCTCACAAACATTTTTGCTCATTCACCGGCCCACACATAACCTATGTTAGTCATTCCTGGCAGATGGATGAAAGGGGAAAAGAGCAATTGGCTTCCAACATGCAAAAGCTTCTTACTCAGTAGCTCAGAGGCAGCTTTTTTCCTTTTTGCCATGAGCAACCTGGTGTTTATTTACAAGCCTGGTGGTATTCCTTGATTCAATCACACCCGAATGCTGGGCTTCCTGAGATGACTATCGCTTGCATCTGCAACCAGAGGAAATGTTGGTTTAGAATTGTGAGTGTGTGTACCAGTTAATACAGACGTCTTAAAAATTCACTTTCCTAACTTTGAACTTTCATTCATTCCTTTCTGTTAAAATCCAAGCATATATTTTTCACTGCTGTGGTACACATGGCAAACACTTGGCCAACCACAGGTTCCATAAACACGTTACATAAAATCCAGGATTCATAAACACCAGTTCACAAAAATAATGCAGTGATTGTCATTTCTACAAAATGAAGTTCTGGCAGGGAATTATTCTTCCATCCACACACCAATGACACCCCAGTGTAGGCAGCTGTGAAGTCTGGGAAGGAAGGGGATAAGACTTGTCACAGTTTTCTGTATTGGTCCCTAACCATCCCAAGTAGCCACAGTCAATCAGTGCCAGTAAATGGATTGTCGTGTTTTCCATTGATCCGTCCAATAGCAAGTGATGGAGACTAAGGAGACCAAGCGGACATCTCTGGCAAAGTGTTTGGAGATTCGATGTGTGTAAACTTCTAGTGATGCATGGAAGGATGAGTCTCAGTAGCCTCCACTTTCGTTTTCCTATACCTATGGGGTAAGAAGCTGTTACTGCCTCCTGCACTGCTAATAAAAGTCATAGGACTGCCCTTCTATATGGGATCTAGAATCCTGCCCTTACATGAAAGTGACTGTAGGTTTATAGAAAGGGATTGGCTATGCATCTTAAACATGTCTTACTACCACACACTCCCTATTTTAACCACTATTAAAATAATTTATATGCACAAATTGTGTAAATGTTTCTCGTTTCCAAGAAAAGGAAAATAAATAGAATGGGATTGCTTTAATTCCTTGCCATGCTATTTAAAAAATAAGAAAAAATAATTAGTCGTGCTCAGTTTCATGAAGTTGGGATGCATATTCCAATAATGTAAGTAACACCTGTTTCTGAGCAAAAGAAACCAGAGAGCTTCCTCCCAATGTTATGTTAACATTCTCAAGAAGTGCCATGTCGGTCTAGCCTGATCTCATCAGATCTTGGAAGTTAAGCAGGGTTGACCTGGGTTAGCATTTGGATGGGAGACCACCAAGGAAGTCCAGGGTTGCTACGCAGAGGCAGGCAATGGCAAATCACCTCTGAACGTCTCTCACCTTGAAAACCATATGGGGTTGCCGTACGTCAGCTGCAATATGATGGCACTTTCTACCATCACAATATCAGTAATGTCCAGTACCTTATGAACAAGAAAAAACAAAAAATAACAACTGCGCACTGACCATCCCACCCAAGAGCTATAGAAAAGAGACTACAATACAATAAGTAATTCAATGCATGTAATCCATCATAGGACAATACACAAATTCATAATATCCCAGAGGGACAGAACAAAGTCCAGAATAACAATCTCTCAAAACAATAAAGTCTGGAATAGATGTCCACATTGAAGTCAGATGTCCATTTTTTTAAATCAACATTGAACCCTTATTTTATACAGTCTCATGCAATCTTACCCAATACCGGAAGTCTCATAGCAGTTTCTTAACAGGTAAACATTATTCAGGTTTTCTGTAAAAGATAATGTCTCCTAAGAATGAATAATATAATTTACAAAACAGAAAATATGAACCACTACATAATCTACTTACATATGCGCCAGGTCTCCTAAGTTTTAGAAAGCACCTACAAGGGTTGCCACTATGTAAGTTGGACCAAAGATGCCTCACTGGTCCGACTTACATAGTAGCAACCCTTGAATGTGGCTCGAAGGTTGCCAACTCAAGCTTGGGAAATTCCTGGATATTTGGGGGTGGTGTCAGGAGAGTCAGAACTGGAGGGAGGTCAGCAGGGATGTGATGCCATGGACTCCACCCTCTGACTTTGCCATTTTCTCTGGGGGAACTGATCTCATAATTCCGTGAGAACTCTATGCCCCACCTGGATACTGGCAAACATTCTGGAGAGCCGTATATAAAAGGCAGAATAGGGGGAAGAATTTCTCATGATCAGAGAGAGGAAGAACTTGAGTCTGAGAGGTGAAAGAACTAGGTTATAGGGCCAGTTTGGTGTAGTGGTTAAGTGCGCGGACTCTAGCCTGGGAGAATCGGGTTTGATTCCCCACTCCTCCACTTGCACCTGGCTGGATGACCTTGGGCAAGACATAGTTCTGGCACAGCTGTTCTTGAAAAAAGAGCAGTTTCTGTCAGAGTTCTCTCAGCCCCACCAGCCTCCCAGTATGTCTGTTGTGGGGAGGGGAAGGGAAAGGAGTTTGTAGGTCGCTCTGAGACTCCTTTGGGTAGTGAAGGGCGGG